TCGAGCCGGATGAGTTGGACTTTGCCGAAGGCGAAGCGCTTCTGTTTGCTCTGCGGGTCGCGGACCTGTACAGCAAACACCCGGGAACAAGTCCACAGGACTTCTACTCCCAGTTCGGCAGGTTCTTGAATCCTGCTGATCCCTTGACGGTTCGTTTTGGTTCTTTGGCGCAGCGTCCGCGAGTTCGTTCGCGCACGCCCTCGCGCACTGCCGGCCCCGGCATTCGATGCTACTATTGTGGCATAGCAGGGCATGTGTCGACTGAGTGTCGCAAGAAACTCAGCGACCAAAAAAACGGAAAGGGACCCCACGCAAGTGAGGCAGCAACCAGATGAGGTCCCTACCCGTTGCGGTGTTTTCCGCAAGCGCCTTCTCGTGGCCCAACAGGAGGCGCGTAAGCTGCAGCAGGGCAATGGGAGAGATCCTGCCTTGGAGGTCCGGCGAGCGGATCCCGATAGGCTCGAGGTCTCCCAACAGCGAGGAGCTGCTAAACCGTCCGTGGAGAGTCTCACGTCGGATCGCAGCTCCTGCGACATACCAGGCGCCACCTATCCCGTCCATGAGGCGCTCTCTTCCGACCGACGAGGCTCATCGGCCATGTCCGCCAGCCTCCGGCTTCCTGCCGCGAGTTGTCACCACTCGCACGCCGCTAATCAACTCCACGTTCGTGATTGCGGAAAGAAACCTTCGCGCCCCTCTATTCGGCGCCAACGACTCCCGGCTTGTGTACGAGGAGACGGCGACGGACCCGCCCGCGTGGAGCACGTTCCTGACGACGGCGAACACCTACGCGCAGCGCATATACGCCGAGTCGACCTGGCAGTCCCGCCTCAGCCTCGCGGGACAGTTTATCCGCTTTTGCCTGGAGTACGGGAAGCCCACCGACGAGCTGAGCGCCGTAGCGTTTTTGGGCGCTCGCGTCGACCTCAAACCGACGACGCTCGTCCAGTATGCCCGCCAGTTGCGCGGCATGCTGAGGGACCAGCGAACACCTCTCGACGTGGTGACTCTGGGGTTGACGCGCATGGCAGCGCAGACCGAGCGCAAGCAGGCGAGACCGTTGGAGAAGGAGGAATTCGAGCGCTTGTTCCAGGCGCTCCCGTCCTGGGAAGACCGCACCGTCTTCCGTCTTTGCTGGATTACGGACAGCAGGTGGTCCGACATTCGGACCTTGACGAAGGAGAGCTTCACCATCAGGGACGATGGGACAGTTCTCTTGGACTGGGCCGCCGGGCCCAAGTCCAGCCAGATGGACCCGAATCGAGCGTCGCGTTATGTGTTGATCAGCGGCGACGATGCAGCGGCAATCATAGCATTGCTGAAGGCCATTCCGGGCCCCCAACTGACGGCCCTGACGACGGCAGAGGTGACGAAGCGCCTCAAGCCTCTGAGTGCGTCTGCGCACTCGATCAAACGAGGGGCCGCACAGCACGCAGCGAGCCTGGTCGCGGAGCTGAATCTGGACCCATTTCTGGTACCCCGGCTGATGAAGCATGCAAACATCTTCGACATGCCGTCGACCTCCGTCAGCTATCTGGGCCCGACAACGGCCTGGCTAACGGGGATATCGGATTTGGTCTGGTTGATGTGAGTCCGTGGCACCTGCCGGAGGTGCTACCTGATTTTCGCTTGCTAGCGACGATCACACGTCGCTCTCACAAGACAGCCGTGGCAGGGCCAGCCGAGGTGGCGGCTCTGCCCTTGCAACAAGTTGGGGTCTCGCCTTTGGACGTCGGTCCATTGAGGGACAGAATACGTCACCGTGTTCGCAAGCGTTTTGACGCCCTGATGGCCTTGCTCTCGGAGGAGCCGCGCGACTCAAGACCGTCGCGATGGACGGTGCCGATGGACGACGCTACGCGCCCGCTGGAAGCGCGCATCATCGAGAAGGCACCCGATGCGGATACGCGTGGTTGGATCCACCCCTTCTCGGTGGTGGAGGAGAAGCCCTCAGGCAAGCGCCGACGGTGGATCGCCTGGCCGCGGGAGAAGAACGAGCAGGACCTTTACGAGACGCAGCTGGACGACTTACGCCACATCAGCGAGTATATGTCCAGCGTTCATGACGAGTGTGCCACCGTCATGGATCTCAAGGCCTCGTTCTTCCAGGTTTCGCTCCCCGAGCACACTCGCAGGAACTTCCGGTGCCATTTGCAGGACGGCACTTTGGTTCAGTTGACCCGTCTGCCCATGGGCTACAAAGCCAGTCCTGGGCTTCTGCAGATCGTCACTTCGACGCTCGCCGCCCATCCGCGCTACGTCAAACGTAGTTTGGCCGTCCCCACGGGTGTGAGTGTCGATGTTTGGATCGACAACATTCGTTTGTCCGGGAAGAGGGCCGAAGTTGAAGTTGCTCAACAGCAGGTTCTGGTGTGTGCTGCGAACTGTGGCGCTGCTTTTGGCGAGGTCGAGAAGTGCGCCACCAATTACGAGTTTTTGGGTGTCAACTTCTCACACGACACCAATACGGTCAAGTTGGGGGCAAAGTTTCTGGGGAAAATCGCGTCCGTAGCGGTACGATCGCGGATAACCGTCGCCGAGTTGGAGGTTCTTGCATCTAAGCTTATCTATGCAGCGGCGGTACTGAACATTCGTTTGGTTCAATATTACTTTCTCCTGAAATTTGTTCGGCGCACGTTGTCAGCGCTGAATAAGGGCCTCCTGGGCGCTTCGTCGGTGGTGGAGATGTCCCCGTCTGTTTTCACGGAGGCTTCGGAGTTCCTCGCCATCGTGCAGGAAAACCGGGCACGGAGTGTGGTTGCATGCGTGCAGTCAGAGTGTCCGGTTCTGGTCACGGACGCCTCCCTCAGCGGATGGGGGGCTGTCTTCATATCCCCGGCAGGACGCGTTTTCGTTGCAGGAGGTCGCTGGCACACACCCCCTGTTATGATCATGGAGGCAGAGGCCCGCGCTGTTCGTTTGGCGCTCACAGCTTTCGCGGCTAAGATTCACCGCCGCGTGCACATCCATGTCGACAATACATCTTTTCTGTTTTCGGCCCGAAAAGCTCACACAAAGTCGTGGGCGCTGGCTTCGGAGTTACGCGCCATCTACGCGCTGGTGGACGCGCGTGGGTGGATACCGTCCTTCGAGTACGTGCGCTCCGAGGATAACCCCGCCGATGGTTTATCGCGTGGCCGCCCTTTTGAGATACACGACTGGGCGAAGGGGCTTGACTTGCGAAGGGGAGCGGGGAAGCGTAAGGCGGGCTACCCACTTCGTAGAGTCTGTTGAATAGTTTGTTTTCGTTGCATTTATTTAACTATTGATATTCACAGTGTGTTGTAAAACCAAGAAAGATAAATTTATGTAATTCTCATGT